AAAAATCAAAATGAATAATAAAAATTTCGAATAAATATGGCGGCGTCAGTGTGATGACGCTATCCCGGGAGGCTTTGCGCGCGTTGTCGGAAAACTAGGTCCCAGCCTGTCCGTGCGAAACCGCGCTCGTCGATCGTGAGAATTTTCGCTTGCATGTTTATATGTCACACGACAAACACTATAAATATTTTGTGTAAATAGAGTTTCCATGAACTCATGAAGAATTTAAAATTAACTCGGGCGGCAAAATTTTGACCAGGTAAACTAAATAAATACAATTGAAATATAAAATCAATATCAAAGTTTAGCCACTGTCACTCGGACACTGTGTCTGTGGTGTATTGACTAAAGGTCTCCCCTCTTTACGAGTAAATCTAGTGTTTGACTGAGTAAAACAACAAAGGCCAACAAAGCTATGGATGCATTACAGAAATAAATTACATGCAGAATTGGATAACAGAAAACACTGCCAGATCAGATTTGACCAATTTAGAATGGGTTACTGATTTGACCAATTTCGAATTGGTTATGGATTTGACCAATTAAAAAATTGGTTATGCATTTGACCAATTTCCAATTGGTTATGGGAATTGACCAATTAATAATTGGTTACCCATTTAACCAATTTACAATTGGTTACGGGATTTGACCAATTAAAAATTGGTTATGGATTCGACCAATTTAAAATTGGTTATAGAGATGACCAATTTAAATTGGTTATGCATATGACCAATTTTAAATTGGTTGGGGATATGACCAATTTTTATTGGTTATTTTGGGAAATTCAACATCGACTGATCAAAAGAAATTGGTTAAATGTACCATTTTAAATTGGTTAAAAATTCAACCAATTATGTATTGGTCGAAATGACCAATATTTAATTGGTCATGTCAGACTAACCTATTCTTCAATTGGTTAAAATGACCAATTTAAATTGGTTGCAACCAATTTAAATTGGTCATTTTAACCAATTTGTTTTTACTGTGTATAGAGCATTCATGATCCAAAACCACTAATTTAAACTTTTAAGCTATTTTGAGGGCTTCAATTTGAATCGAAATTTTATTAATTAACTTTACGCGATATCCCTATACAGGGTGTATCAAAAAAAGCGCAACCTCGGAATTTCCCAAGTAATCGACATTGTTTTAAAGATAAAAGATTTTAGGCGCCTGGGAATTTAAAATAGCACAACTGTCAAAATTACTGCACACGCCAGTGCATAAAGCAAAATTTATGCATTTATTTAATGCACAACAACAGTAATATGATCTATAGCAATTCGATTTCAATTCCCAGGGGCCTAAAATCTTTTATGCTTAGGAATTGCATGGTAATTTCTTAGGAAATTCCGAGGTTGCGTTTTTTTTATACACCCTGTATAACAAATCAGCTTAGATATTTAGATTTCCTCAAGGTATGTCATTGCTGACTATTTCTAAACAAGGTTACTGCATGTGGTTGAAAGCTTTCAATGCGGGATATCCAGTGGATAAGAAGCGACGAATAAACATGTTATTATTTAGTTTTTAATCTAGAGCTTGAAATATCCGTTGTCAGAATGGATGATTGCCAATTCTTTAGTCCACCGTCAATCAATTTGAAAAATTACAAAAATACACGAGTATAACCAATTTTGATTCGTTATTAATATTCGCATATATATATATATATATATATATATATATATATATATATATATATATATATATATATATATATATATATATATATATATATATATATATATACCCGGTGATTAAGGCTATGTTTACGTGATATAAGGATATATAATGTTTCCGTAGTGGTGCTAAAAAGCACCTATCCGATACGGAATGTACAACTTTCAGAAGCTGAGCGAAACAACATCTCCCGGTTGCAATAATTCCTCTGAAAATAGCGTTCTTAAAAGGTAGTGGTGGTTTTTCACGTTGCTATCCGGTACAGTGTAAACATAGAACCTTATATAACAGTTGGTGTCAGGTTCTGGTTTAAAAGTATGGCTAGGTTTCGTGTCAGGCCGGAAAACTTGCATAAATTGAGAATTTGAGCGTCCCTATCTATTAAGTATGGCTAGAATTTTTGATACGGTACGTTTTGGCAATGTTGAATAAAATAAGATTTTCTATACGCCACGAAGTAAATATTCAGACGATGCCATAACGTGTCTTTGTTTATTGACTCAAAGTCTCGCTATGCTTCACTTCGTCTCAACTGGTTGCAAAATTTAGTTCAGATATACTTCACTTAACGCTCTAGTGAAGAACGCTGGTTGTAGCATACGGGTAACAAGCCACATTTATTGACATAACTATACGCTTGATGGTTTCTTTTAACTATGAAACTTTGATAATGTGTCTTTTTGCTGGTTGAACCACTGAAGCAAAGAATTATTGCACAAAGCGTATTTAGCCTACAAATTTAATTTTTGCGAGTTTAAAACTTTAAAAATACTTATCACAAAAATTTACCATGACATCCGATATATTTTCCCGCCAAAGTCTACATGTTGGAAACTAGTCTTGTATGCTCGTATTTGTACGGGAAAAGATTTATTTACAATGAACTATGGTATAGTCGTCTAACTGAAACGATTTCTTATTCTGACCGGTTGTTTAATAGCGCACTTAAAAACCTCTTTAATAAATGTACAAAACGTCAAATATAGGCTACCTTGTTTTAGCACATTTGTGGTGAAATATAGCAACATCAGACTAACTGTTCCCTGTTTATCCGAAGACCATAATATACAGTACAAAAGTCTTATAACAGTGTGGAATTATCAACGATATAACGTCCACTGTTACAGATTTTAATGCTATCGAGTGATGTTTTAGGTTTATTTTATCAATAATATCCTAACTTTATACCTTTGTTGACATTGCTAAATATAGAAGTTTATTATGCAGACATATAGGCCTATTAAGCGAATTTTCTTGTTTAAAATGAAGATTAAACTTTACATTGCACAGTTGTTTTACTGAATTTTGATTAAAATGTAAAACTATACCCGAATCTTTCTTTGTGTTTATTTTGAAACTTTGAGCAAGTTACGGTTCAGTTGGCATATTTTGTACGAAATCTAGCAGCGTTTAACGCTACCTGTTCATATGACAACCGTATAAGGCGAACACCTGTTGATTCACTGACTCTATTACACTACATTGATCTTTGCTTACAACGTTGCTTCATAAACCTCGAGACCACAGGACCGTGAAGACACCGTTGCAGATGACTAAACCATTACTCATCGGAAAAATATGAAAACTTGAATTCCACAGCGATTAACAAATGATGACAAATAGTTTTGGAGGTAAATAATTGTTGAATAATGCTGTTATATCATTTTGCCACAATTTGCATATTTATTCAATTACATTGTCTTGAGATTGTAAGCTTGTAATTAAAGTCATTTGAAACAATGCTTGATAACTTTGCACTCTTAAGAGATGTGTAAGGCTGTTTATGCTGCTTTAAATAGCAATGAAAGAAGTAAGGTTAGAAATTTTATTTGAAATCAGATTTATCAACTTCTCGTTATATAGTGAATACACTTATAAATCAGAGTAGACACCTGTTGGATGATTTTGGATATTTTCGCAGTTAAATCATCAACATAATTTAATTTACTCCACTAAATTAGCCAAAACGTCAATGATTCTACTTGAAATTTACTATCACTGAGATTTTTGTAGTTTAAATATACTACGTTTAATTTATACAACAAAAATAAAAATCCAATGTTGTTAATTATTCATATCGGCAACAAAGAATTATTGCCAAATTTGTTAAATACGTCTCAGGTTTCTGTAAGGCGGGAAATATCTTTAATTTCTATTTGTTTCGTTATTTTTATTTTCAATTAGCTGTAGAAAATTAATGTTTGATAAGATTTCGAAGCATTTTTAGGGAACACGTTGCATCTGAAAATTTAGAGACTGGTATATATTTTAAAGATGCATGGCTGTGTTGAAACATGTATAAGGAAGCGCGAACTGTTTTAAGAGTTAATTCATATTTTGAATGTATTCCGGGTAAATCTAAGGCAAATGCACTTCTTCAACTACTTTTGACTTGAGTCCTTTCGAACAATTATAAGACAGTATATTGTACAACAGACAGTTGTTCAAAGGTGGTTAGCGTCGTTTTGGTTTGTACAAATCGCTGTTTTGGTTTGTATTTCTGCACGGCTGTTTATTTCAAAACTTCAGAGAAGTAAACTCAGACTCTTCTATCGAACCACACAAGATTTCTGAAGAAACAGTTCCAAATTTATACTCAAGCTGCCAAGGAGCTTGCTTTGAATTTTAAGTCATTCTAGGGTTAAAGTTATCGACATTGGAACAACTGGCTCCAGTACAGTAACAGTGGATGAAGTTATAAACCCATATAGACCAAATACAGTTTGCTAATGAACTCATGCAGGACATCTGCAAGACAACTTGAAAAATTTTAAACTAGTGCGTGGTAGACTCGGATGGTAGAATTCCAGTTTTTATTATTATACAGTAAGCAATTTTTTCTTCGGTTAATAGCTGCATTTCTCGGTGTACTATGATAGACATGCAGGCATAGATATTGACTCAGGTAAATTAGCGAATGGACTAGAATGCACAAGGAGGAACTGAGCGAGATAGGCCGTAGGATGAGCATCAAAAAGATGCAATTCCGTTGCACCTTCGTGTAACTACGTAATTTTTACATGAATAAATAGATAAAAACTTACTTTATCAGATATCCGTTGCTCCCCAAGCGAAACAGGTGCACAATTGGGAGAAAAATCCCACCAAAGTTTGATATTTTCGCGCTTCGAAATATTCGAACCGCCATTGTTTTGGTAGCAAATACGCATGCGCAACTCAGCCAAGCTCGCACTGCGCACGCGCAGACTATAAAAATAGATTCTTACTGTGGGGTTTCCAACACCGCGGAAAAACGTCTGCGCATGCACCAAATTATGAAAATATGGCGGGGAATTTGAATATCAATTTCTAAAACAAAACCATGCTTATTAATTGGTCAAAAATTAGTAAAACAAACGAGAAAATATAGCAAATGGGTAGACTAGACATTAATTGAAAGCGTCCTGCCATTTAAAGTATGATATGAAATATAATTCATGTAAAAAATTGTTCATTTTAACGGACACGACTTCGAAAATTTTTGCAAAATTATTCAAAACAAAAATTCAATCTCAAAAGTTAAGAAAACTCTCGAAAAGTTAAGCTTCTTAACCAACTCTAATTGTAGAATAAATTCTAAAGTTTAATTATTGTGAACACGAAAATTTTTTATATTTGGCGACACAGTTTTTTTTAAAGAAATGTATCTCAAACGAAAATTCGGAAATTGTCGTTGCTTAGTTGATAAACAAAATGTTTCAGACGATAAATTTGTCAACAATCACCTTTAGTTCATGTTCTTGTACAATACAATTTCTTGAACCTTCTGGCTGTATTTATTCCTAGTTTTTAGAATGACATGTTTATTTTTGCGCTCGAAATCTGGCTGTAAAGACGCACAATGAAGTCACTCCTTTTTACCGCCATTTTGAGCCTTCGGAAACGTTCGGAACAGCTTCTCATCAAGTTCGCAATACTATTACAAGTAAGGTAGACGCATGCGCAGACATTTTTCCGCGGTGTTCGGGTTTCCCCGATTTCCTCCGCAAAAACAACAAAATAAAATCACGGAATACTGATCAAACCTTGTAATATAAATACACCCACATTAAATACTGTTTAAAACACATTGTATATTTTGCTTGCTCATATGCTAAATCACTTCAATTCATTGGCTATTGTTTCAAAGTACCGTTTTAACGTTTAATTCTACTTTATATTAACATCCTAATTCAATACAAATTTGTGTGAGGTAAAAAGCCCACCTGTATCAAACAGGACGGAGAATAAAAAATATATATACATATAATTCACACGATCAAGGAACAAATGAAATATTTCACTAAACTTAAAGCCTTGGCCAAACGTAAGAAACAATGTCGCGGAAATATTCGTGATTTTTAATGGGCTTTTATTGCAGAAGCAAAAATTTGCTTCCCAGAAAGCAAACAATTTCCTACCAAATTCAGAAGCATTTGATGAAACACTCTTTATCCGTTTGCCGACGCTGATAAGACAATATGACATACCGAAAGATTGGAAAGATAAATTATATGACAACAGTGTTTCCCAGTTCGTCCCGCGCTTTAAGGGATATTTATATAAACTCCTAGGAAAACCTCTGATTGAATCTTTAATGTATTATTGAATAACTATGCAAGATGTTTGGCGCTTCTTAATTAAACTGTGCGTTCCAGCATCGCTTAGTATACTCTATGGATACCAATCCTGGATTTGGACCAACTTTTCCATTCGCTCCAACCATATTTTCCAACCATCTGTTCCAATCGACGAAGCCGGACTGCACCAGTGAAGGACCTTGAACTGTGAAAGAAACATGTCCCAGGCACCAAGTCAAAAATTCATTATAAAAAAAATATAAATTGGGAGGAAATATAAAATCCATAATCTCATTATAACTATCTATAATTGAAAGAAATGTTTTCATCTTTGAACCCAGATTTTAATCAGAGCAATAAAATCCCACTTATTGGATACTGGCCAAGGGCTTACATGTTCAAAACGAGATTGCATGAATTCTGCAATAAGCTGTCCTGGCTTTTGTCTGGTAAAGTTCTACTTCTCGTATTTGAACTATTACATATATTATATTTATATTGTGACATAAGTTGGTATGTAGCCACCTATCTAGAATAACAAGGAATCTACTGCACTGATAATACCCACGTACATTGCCATCATTGTTCACCTCAAATCATTAATAATGTGCGAATGCATGAGCAAATTAGCCAACCATATTGCTTTATTTTGCTCACATGATAATACTGGATACCTGATGAAGTGCATTGATCCAGTAGTGTCCTAGGACTGGATTAAAATTAATTCAGTCCTTGGACTGGATCAAAATTAATTAAGTAGTGATTTATTCGCATGAGATGTTATTTCAAATCCTCCAATTCGGACTGGACTAGATTTCAAGTCCTCACATTTTGATCCAGTCCTCTGCTTCGCCTCGGACGTGATCAAATTGCGTGTACTTGAAATCTAGTCTAGTCCTCATAGTCAGATTTGAAATATTATCCCTTGTCAAATCAGATGCCATATCACCGCCAAGGAAGATTCAGTTTTGGTATTTCTTGCACCTTTTGGCGAAGAATCAATGCAGCATTGTATATAATTTGTAACTCATTGACTTTAGAATTTCCCTCAGTTTCTGTGTTGGAATTCACATCATCATCATCATCAATGGTACAGCTCTCTTCATCAAAGTCTTCATCGTTGTTTTCAGACTTAATTGACATATGTTCCTCAACCAATTCAGAAGAATCCAAATTTTCCACATATACAATCTCACTAATATTTCTCATTTTCTGTACACAGAACACAAGTTTGGGATAACTTTTCATCAGTCATTGCTTTAAAAGCTCTATATTTAGATGTGTCCACATTCTCAGTTTCCTTAGCAGCAATGATAACAAATTTCTCCAGCAAATCTTTCACATACTTTATTTGCTTATTTCCCATGACCTCCGTCTCGATTACTTTCTTACAGAATACATCATAAGACTTCTCGTGATGTAGATCTTTCAGTCTCCGATTGCTTCTTCGTACACTGATGTAGATTTTTCAGTCTCCGATTGCTTCTTCATCTCTCTGGTGATAAATATTGTATAATTGCAGTAGCAAAATTTGTGATAGCGGACTTTCAGAGCTACACAGTCTTTCCCCCGGACTTGCACGAGTATCCGTTCATCATTCTTTCTCTCAGCAGCTGTACGTAGAAGACCATTGTTTTTGCCAACATGAGTGGGGTTCTTCTTCTCTTCTTAGTTACCTGGTGTGAAACAAAATTATTAAACTAAATATCTGCTAATAACAAGGTTGGGTATTTGTAGCATAGAAACTAGTACTTTACCCTAAATAAACTTAATTGATCACAATTCAATATATTTTAAAACCAAACCCGAGAATGTTGTGCACATTGCGCTAGTATTATTAATTACCTATCAAAATGACTATACCTTGTCTAGTGAGATCCACGAGGCGTCTCTTCCACAAATAATACATATCTCTGGGAGTACATGCGCATTTCTTTTAGGCAGGGCCTTATTTTAATATAGCTTCTGCGACTGATTGACGTGTAATTTTTCGCCTTGGTTCTATCGGCTCCACTTCCACGTGTGATTCTTCGGTAGAAGTTACAGTTTTAAAGCTAGTTCCTTCTCCTTTTTCTTCCTTTCTCTGTTGTCTACGGATCTTCTCTTCATCACAAAATCTCTTCCAGCATTTCATATGATGGTACCATTCTATTTTTAATGGTATCAGGGTTCTTCTCCATGTATGAACACTTACACTCAAAAAATTTCTTAAGCCTTTGGCGTGTAACTTTGCAAAGTTGCTCCGTAACGCCATCAAAAATGCACAAAACATGAGGATATTCGAGTTTTATAAATATCTTCAGCCATGATTTATTTGCATAACTGAGCGTGTTTCCACTTCGAAGCATGTGCGTTGGTTGTGCGCGTGCGCAGTGCGAGTTTGGCTGAGTTGCGCATGCGTATTTGCTATCAAAACAATGGCGGTTCGAATATTTCGAAGTGCGAAAATATCAAACTTTGGAGGGATTTTTCTCCCAATTGTGCACCTGTTTCGCTTGGGGAGCAACGGATTCTGATAAAGTAAGTTTTTATCTATTTATTCATGTGAAAATTACGTAGTTACACGAGGGGTGCAACGGAATCCGTTTTCTAAGCATCTTTTGGATGCTCATCCTACGGCCTAAGAGAGGGTGGTGAGGGGTACGACACCCACGACACGTTTTAGAAAACTCGACGGTAGAACGGCCGATAATGTAGGGAAAACCGTGACTTTTGACGGTAAATTGATCGGTAAAATTATCATGAGGTGGTAAATAATATTGCGAAATTCCCCACCCCGTCGAAATGTACACTTATTTTAGGAAATTTATGAGGAAAAAAATTATACTTCTGGAGTTTCGCTCCCGGAACAGCCCCTCTTGGAACGCCACTGAGAATGGTTCTTCAGTTTGGCATGTTAATTACTAGAAAATACATGCATGCAGAAACACTCGCCTTGCTGACAAAACCATTGTATTTTCCGACTAAATGCGACTAACACCAAATACTAGAGTTTTGATGCGTCATATTTTGGATCTTCCTGAGACATCTGGAAACTTTGGCCGTATAAATATTGACCAAGATGAGGTTTTTACTATACACTGGAAGCAAAATATATGTTGCACTAGATAAAGTTACTTAATTAAAACTGTCAAACTTTCAGTAAGTTAGCAATAAAACCACAAGTTCATGAAACTTTGAGGAAATTCACTAAAAAATTGAACTATTTCCATATTTTTGTTATGCAGGTTTCCTAGAATATTTCCACGCTTTCCTGGAACATTTCGATATAATATATAGAAGAGTGAAAAAGTTTGGAAATTGAATTTCTAAACTTTTTCCATATAATTCTTATAGATTTTGCATTTAATTCTTATAGATTTTGCATTTAAAATTTCCCAGTAAATTGTGAGATTTAGTGTACCTTTAATCCGAAAATATTGTAATTGACAAGTAGTTGCAGTATAATATAATTATGATGCATGCTACTGATAAATGATACAACACTATAAACATTTGCTTTGGTCCCAAGAATTATAGAGCGTTATATATTGAATGAAGGCTTTGTCACAAACGTTTTCTTTCCCTTTCCAGGCGACATACCAACCAAAATGGCGGTGGTTGTCTTTGTTTTAATACTTGCCTTAGTGTCTCCTGTTTCACCTGCTTATACAAAACCTCATATAATTATGGTCGTTGCAGATGACTTGGTAAGCTCTTTTAAATTTATTTATTTATCTAAATATTTAGTATAAATTATTACAATCGTAATCCTATATAATTATACAAAATCAATATAAATGATTGTTCATGCACTCAATAGTAAAAATATTTGACCATGTGAAAGGTGGGAATTTCCATATTTTACTGTTGCAGAAATGAAAAAATCAATGTTGAATAGTTAACCGTTAACAGTTTCAATAACATTCAAATAAATTGACCATTTTAAAGGACATTGGCAATATAAAATTAGTTTGTCCTATTCAAAAGAACTCTTAAAATTATATATTAAACTATATTACCAATTTGTCGTACCTTGCTTAGTTTTCGAAATATTTAGACCGAAATTAATGAGCTGTGCGCCATCTTGGACGAATTCTTGACCTCATTAACTATGGTTTTGATGACGTCAGGAGTTGGGTTAACCATATAAAACTACTCTAAAATGACCGAGTACCAATCCAAAATTGTTTGAAATGTTTTTAGTCATTCCTAAATTTCAGACAGCAACCAGAAACGAAGTTTTGGACCCATATTGATCGCTTACTCTCAAGATAAAAAATTAGCGTGATCCCTCTCTTGACGTAACATGCATATCCTCAATAATCCAAGATGGCGAACAGCTCACTTTTTCAAGTTGAAATATTTTAAAAACTAAGCAAGATATAAACAATCTGTAATAGAGTTTAATATATCGTTTTAAGAGTTCTTTCAAATGAACTAAACTAAATTTTTATTGCCAATGTCCTTTAAATAAAGTTAACCCATTTTTAACTGCCGTAGCAATTTTATAAAACAATTACCACAAGGTTTTCCGTGCAGGATAGCGTCATTCATGCATTCGGGATATTATTCGACTTTCGGAAAGGACAAAAAGGCACTCCCCTCGTTTGCAATATAAACTTTATAACGTGCCTCTCTTAAATATATTATTTTGTTTTCCTTCTCTCTAGGGATGGGATGATGTTAGTTTTCATGGTTCAAATCAAATTCCAACACCTACGTTGGATCGTCTAGCTAAAGAGGGAGTTGTCCTCAATAATTATTACGTTTCACCTTTGTCTACACCAAGTAGAGCAGCTTTCATGACTGGCAAGTATGCCAGCCATCTTGGTAAGACAGTCAAAGATTTTTGTCATATCCACCAGACCAACTTGCATGAATTTCCTAACATTTCTTCTAGTTTTTACTTTTCTTCTAATAATGAATTTTTCTAATTTTACTTGTCAGGTTTACAACACGACGATTTCCATAATCAACAACCAAGTGGTCTACCGCTGAGTGAATCGTTATTACCAAATCGTTTACGAGAATTGGGATACAGTGCCCACGGTGTAGGAAAGGTAGCTATGATGACATTTTTCCCTTTATTTTCTTCTAGCTTAAATATTTGATGGGTTTGCATAATGGTTTAATAGCAATTCCACCAGGTGCCTCTTAAAATATTTACAAATTAAAAATTTTGTCTAAAGCAAGATGAAAATTTATGGTAAACCATTGAACTATATTCTATTGTCTCTTTAGTGGCATTTGGGATTTTTTTCGAAAGAGTACACGCCAACATTTCGCGGTTTCGACTCATATTTTGGTTTCTGGACAGACACAGAAGACTATTATTCCCATGTGTCCTATGACAATGGATATGGATTAGATTTAAGGAGAGATTTACAGGTAAATTTTATTTTCAATACAGAAAATTCAATACTCGATTTGCGAGCGGAGTGCAATTTTTCTTTGTCTTGTGATTTCCTGGGTGGAACTGATTAGAAAAACAAAGAAAAATTCCGCTGGCGGCTTTTCTCACCATCTGGTCAACAGACGCTAACGTTCTTTTCGTATTTTAGTTGGTGTACAATGAAAGCGGATCATACAGTACAGAACTTTTCACGAAAGAAGCAAAAACGATCATCAAAAATTACGATAACAAGAAACCATTGTTCTTATACTTGGCTCACCAAGCAGTGCATGTTGGGAATGGAGATGATCCGTTACAAGTCCCTGAGAAATATGTCAAGCAGTTTGCAGGAATTAAGGACGTATCAAGAAGGAGATTTGCAGGTATATCTTTTTAATTTAGTAGATTTCTAACTTGTTTGGTTTCGCAGATTTGTTTAGCTGGTCATTAAAATATTGCACATCATTGTGTCGAGTTAGTATCGGATGAAACGTTCCTACAAAATATGAAAGTATTAAAGGGAGATTCAAAATTTGATTATTTCAATCACCGACACTGGAAAAAAAAGTTTCGGTGGTATCGTGTGTTTGTCAACATTTTTAATGGTTCGATGTAAAAAATTCACACGTGTGCTGCATTTTTCGCAGTTGTTCCTGGTCCGGTCTTAAAGTGTATATATCCTCACTTGGATTACTAACCCTAAAAACAGCATTCTAATATTAATTCCACCAAGTGAAGTGCAAAAAACAAGATCATTGAAGTCTATATTACTTGTAAGCCTATTTTAGTGTAATGGGGCCGCAGTAATTGGCTGGCGCTGTTGCCAACTTCTGTCTTAAATTGTAAATGTATTTTAAGGCAAAATAAATAAATAAATAAATGATGTACAGTATTCTATATATTAAATGGCTTTCAAAACCTTTTGGTTTCAGGGATGGTCGCGACCATAGATGAATCACTGAAAGACCTAACGGATGCCCTCACTGCCAAAGGAATGATGCAAAATACAATTATTGTTTTCACAACTGATAACGGTGGTGCCGCTGGAGGATATGACAATAGTGCAGGCTCAAATTACCCTCTAAGAGGAAGCAAGAACACATTTTGGGAAGGCGGTGTACGTGGTGTAGGCTTTGTCTACAGTCCTCTGCTGAAAAATAAAGGTTAGTATGTTGGGATAGACCGTTTCATCATGAACACATATAACCTCAGCATCAAAACATGCGGAATCGAAGCGGTGAACGCATTGCAAAGAGTGCTGTATATAATTATATTCAAATTACAGTAAAGAAGGTCGTCAAGACTATACGAATTTAGTATAAACCTACTAGTAAGCTATCACATTTCGTGCCTTCTGATTGGCTACGCTACTAGTAGGCTATTAGTGATAGCCTACTAATAGAAAATTCAAAATGGCGGAAAATTCGCGTTTTGCACTTTTGCCGAAGTGTCTGATGATTTTTTGGACGACTTGTTGAACAATTCTGTACTAAAAAACCCCGAAAAAAGCAACAAAAATATCGAATGGCAATTTTTAAGGGTAAGAAAATAGACAAAATAACATACACTCAATGAAATTTTAAAATTAAAACTGAATTTTGTAAAATATTTTACGCGAACAAAAACTAAAATATTTGTTTACCTTTAATGGTTTTATAATGTTTTTTGTGTATTTTTGTATTGTGTTTGCAGCCTAGTTGTAAATTAATGTTAAAGTTTATACTAAAACAATTAGACAACTCGGCCTCGTTGTCTATGAGCAAATAGTCAACTCGGCATCGCCTCGTTGACTATTCGCTCATAGACAACTCGGCCTTGTTGTCTAATTGTTAAATGGTTTGGAGTTCTCTTCGCAAATCAGTTCAATCAACATTTTATCAATGTAGGTCCAAACCTAGCTAACACAATATGTCACCTATATCACGCAAACTCAAGTATTAAGTCTGTTTTTAACACTTGACAGTACCAAAGCATCTTTTGATATTCCTAATACAATGATAAAAAAGATAGCCCCAATAATCTCACCTGTGTTTACAAGTATATATAATGAGTCGATTAGTACGGGTATTGTTGCAGACATTCTAAAGATTTCACGAGTTACACCCATATACAAATATGGTACAATTACAATTACAAATCCAAGTAACTATCGACCAATATCAGTCTTGTCAGCTTTTTTAAAAATACTGGAAAGGATTATTTATAATCAACTATAATTATTTCATGTTAAAAATGGTATACTCTTTGAATATCAGAAAAGGATTTTTGACAGAACAACCAATACTTGAAATTACAGATACCTTAAAAACTACAATTGATAAAAAGGAAGTAACGTGTGCACTATTCCTGGATTTTTCGAAAGCCTTTGATAATGTCAATCATCAAATTCTCTTATCTAAACTTGACAAATATGGAGTACGTGGGACCCAGTTGGATTGGTTTAAGAGTTATTTAATGAATAGGAAACAATATGTACGGATTGGTAATTGTGATTCAGAAATGCTTACAATGACTTGTGGAGTTCCTCAAGGTTCAACTCTCAGACCATTATTATTCTTAATTTATATAAATGACATGCATAATTGCAGTAGCAAACTTTCATTCCGAATATTCGCAGACGACACAAATATATTTTATTCAAACACAAGTATTGAAGACGTTGAAAACGTTATGAATATAGAAATTGAAAAAATATTTCGTTACTGTGCTACAAATAAGCTTTCAATTAATTTGGAAAAGACGAATTTTATGGTTATCACTAACTCAAAAGAGAAAGTTAGAAATATACGGATTAAAAACATTGTTAAAGGAGACTTTATTAAATATCTTGGTATATATATTGATAATAATCTAAATTGGGAGTATCAGATTAAACACGTAAATAGTAAAATTGCTAAAAACATTGGAATAATGAATAAACTCAGATATTACATAGATTTGAAAATGCTTAAACATCTATATTACACTCTAATTTACCCTACATGAATTATATGGGCTGATGAGTTGGGGTAACACCTATGCAGCAAAGCTTAATAAAGTACGAACATGTCAAAATAAATGT